GAAAATGGCACAGAACAATTATCTCAAGAATTCGAAAAGAGGATGCTGTGTTCCACAGTGCAAAGTAAAGGATAAACTGAATTTAAGTTTCCATAGTTTTCCATCCGATTTAATTTTACGGAACAAGTGGATGGAAGCATTGAAACTGAGAGGAATTTACAATGAAAACATAAAAGTTTGCAGTCAACATTTCTCTCTTGACGATTATATAAAGCGGCGTAAGTATTTCATATAGAGATGAATATTCTATAATGAAATTAGCCGAGTCGGTTGAGTCCATTTTTTGTTGAATATGTCGTAACCGAAAGCAAGTTAAAAAATTTTGGTAATGAACTTTTTTAGGTATACATTTTTTGTGTCTACATCAATGAACAATTTGCTATTTCATACTCCAGAGCTTTGGCGCACTACCATCAGATTGGTTCCGCAAAATAGTAATTCTACAAACCACCACCAGATGGCGAGAAATCGCTTTTGCGATCGCGAATAGCTTTACACTTGACACATTCAATTGCGGATAAGAAAGCTAAACCCACTCGCTTCTGCGATGCAATTTTTGATAAACAAAGTACTTCTCCGCACTCTCAGCATTTTTTATTTTCACTCAAAGTTTTGATGTCAATCAAACGTCGCCCATGAACCAAGTGGAGGTTAGCACTTGTCTCGGGGGGACTATTGCTGATTTCTGCATCCATTTTGTTTCTTTTTCTTTTACCCGCTTCCACTTGGCAATCTCTGATGATAAATGCTTTCCGTCACACGTTTTCGCTTCCACAAGAATAATTTTTTACCATTTTTATCAAATATAATTTTACCCGGCTCACTGGACGCCATGACATTTCGATTTACACACATACATATACTCGACTACGCTGAGGGGCCCCCGGCCCATGAGTGGATGACAGACATGCGCACTACGGCGCTCCTTGCTACGTTGTCAAATTTAGAGAGTTACTGCTAGTGAAAATTCTCTAGCTGGGGGAATACCGATGTTAGCTTAGACGCACCATTTTTTTCGTAAGCTAAAATGGGTTGTAATGCCCTAACATCCTTAAGGATCAGAGATGGTCATCAATCTTCCGATTCTTCAAGATTAAAAGAATTTCCGATTTACATTGATTACGATTTAAATATTCTAATAGAAATTAAAAAATAGTAATATAATATATATAATCTAAATTTCCAATTGATGATGAATTAAATATTTAAAGTCTGGAACTATAAATTTTCTATTTAGTACATAATACTAAATTTCGTATAAGGGATTTTGGATTATCTAAATACTTGTCAATATTCTACCTCCATTACTGATTAATGAATAATTTAACATTTGACGATTTAAATGGATGATTATTTCAATAATTGAAATTAAAGACTGATATTAACTAATTGACAACTTAATAATTTAACAGTAATTATAATTAATGGATATGGCTATCTCTGTTAAGGATATAATTATATTATTTCAATTGTTATTATTATAATTATATTATTTCAATAACAACCGACGGCGACGGCTGTGTGGTTAGAGCGCGGGGTTGGCACGCGGACGACGCGAGTTCGATTCCCGGTGGGGGAGCCAAAATGATTTTTTAACGCTCTACTTTTCACAGATGTCCGAGCGGGAGTCTCGCAAGCGACAACTGTACCTGGTCAAGGTTTTTCCCTCAAGTGAGGTTTTTCCTTAGCCCTCGGCGAATGCGGTACAAGGGGTTGGAAGGAGGGAAGGGAATAAATCGAAAAAACCCAAGAGGGTATACGAAGGAACAAAAAATATATAAAAAAAAAATTTCAATAACAAATCGAGATTTAAATTCAGACCTGCATGTTTAAACTCTCAAGGACGGGGTACATATGCGTATATGGACCCAAGCAAAAACGCATGATTCTGTTCAAAACTGAATAATTCCAAAACTGTGACAGATAATCCAATTCCACCAACGCCATTCGAAAGCTGGATAGTGTAGCTTCAATTTTTAATGCGTTTTATAATTTTTCATGCATCAAAATTTATAGAATCTCAGTGATATTCAGCGCACGTCAGGCTTCATAACAGAAAGGCCCCGTACGCGAGGGGTTAAATAATAAAATCATTGTAAAATGTCCGGAAACTTAAAGTCAAACAGGGCTCAATGAAAGCTCTCATGTTCAATTACAAAAATCAATAGCAGAGTGTTAAAACGGTGTAACTTGTTTTTCAATGAATATTTCGGAATCCAAGGGAGATAGCAAAACTTTTATCATAACCTTTTTTGCAGCCCTCAATGTGCTCTATAAAAATATTCAATACGAAAACTTCACTATCTCCCTTAGATTCGGAGATATTCCTCGAAAACTTGGATAAGCGCCAAGTCAACTTGATCCGTTTTACCGCTTCGCTACTGAAATAATGCAGATATTGTAAATATATGATGCGTCGTTAAATAAAAACGCAGTCAAACAAAAAAAAAAACGTATCCACGCGGAAAAAGATCACGAGGTTGTGGACCCCATTGGCGAAAACTAGTAAGTCCACCAGGAAGAGGGTAATTTAGAATCCTCCCGAAATGGTAAGAAGCTAATAACCGACGTTGGAACCGTTGCTGTACGGAGTCAGTTAATAGCTTCTGAGAACCCCCATCTATAGGCATCTATGTCCTCTAACTCATTCACATTATTACCTTCTTCATTCTAATTGTAAATAAATCTCTCCGCAATTACCTGTGATCATTAAGGGACCGAGGGCACCGCATTGTTGCGAAGGCACGTCAGTATGTGATCCACAAGCGACATTGTACAGTGAAACGGTAGCTTGGATAAGAAGTTGATGGGGCTGGATTCTTAGGCTTCCCACGTTGGCATAGCTCCTGGTCCTCTGCCGCTCGTTCCCACGAGCCGACGCGAGGAAAAAAGCAATCGTCCGATGATCTTGAACTTTTATTTTTACGTCACTCGTATGAAGGCAAAATTAGACGTACGAAAAAATTTCATAGAAAAACCTGGGGAATTGGCTGGGAAATTCTATCGGATTTATAATTAAATTGCTATTATGTTTTGGCTAAATCAATTGCAAAATTCTGCAGCTGCGCATTTTAATTCAGTAGAAATGTTCAATTGAAACTATTTCATAGAAATAATCAGTGGAATTTTGTTTGTTTTTTTTTAATAAAAAAGGAAGAAAAGTAGAGGTGAAGAAACTTAGACAATTCATGGTGAGGAATTTCTATAGAAAATGTTTCTGCTGAACATTTTTCATTAAAAATAGCGCAGTAGAAATGCGGAATTCTTCAATAGAATCCACTAAAAACTAATAGAATTATTGTGTTCCAGATTATTATCCAAATATTATTGAAAAATATAATTGTGAAAAATTTGGAGTCAGCATTGTATACAGGAGACCGTTTTGTAATACAAAATGAGGCAAGTGTGCCACGGTTTTCAATAAAACCGAGATCACACAGGACTCGATAGTTCATAATCGACTGAGTTCGTTTTGAGTTTACTTTTATACTTATTTTACATTTTATTCTTTGCATCGAAGTAAACCGTTACTCTCTTGTTAGAAATGAATAAACGAAAGTATTTGAAATTGCTGGAATTGAATTAATATTGAAACAGAATTTTCAATAGAATTTCAATCAGTCAGAAAATTAAGCGCATTCACAAGAAATCAATTCTCAGCAGATTCTGTTGAAAAATTCCGCAGAAATAATACCACACAAATGATCAATGAAACACGTATGAAAAAACGCAATAGCATTTCCTATAGGAAATCCTATGGAGAATTCGAACATTTCCTATAGGATTTTTCTGATAGGATTTCCTATCGGATTTCCGATAGGATTCCCTATAACGATTCCTATCAGATTTATGACCCTTGTGACCGATTGGTTTTGAGTCTCAATTTTGTGTGTTACTTTCTATAGAAAACCCTATAGGGAATTCTATAGGAAATCCCACCAGAAAAATCCTATAGGAAATGTTCGAATTCTCCATAGGATTTTTTCATACGTGAAATATTCTATAGAAAAAATTTCCTCCTTTGCTCACATGATTGTTTGACCCTTGAACCCTCAAAAATCCCCTATCAAATTTTTCCCTGCGTATTAACAGTAATTTTGACTTCTTCTCGATTACTTCTGACACTATTTCCCCCCACAAAGATACTCAAGGTCAATGCTCACAACTTTTTCCCCCATCTTTGACTGTCGCTATCCTCAGTCATCAGCCAGCTCTCGGCATTGTGGTAAAAAGCATCCGTCTTGTCCGTCCACCTTCACTCGTCTCCCCGGTTTTTTAAAAAGGCGTTTTGCCGATGTCCCCGTCCTCGTCACTCCAATAGATTTCGATGGGTGCTCGGGACCCCTCCGGGAAAACGGCGAAATAATGAACGGAAGGCCTGCGGAAACCGGTCTCGATACGCTTTTGCCGATTTGAGCCAGTCCTGCATTTCGTTTATTTTATTTTATTTTTCGTTCACTCTTTTTCCGAGGACTAATGTTGCTTCTCTTCCACCGAACATCGTAAAAACTTGCCCTTTACGCCGTACATTTTTTTAAAACTACATTTTTAACTCTAGAAGTGAGTAAAAAAAAACCGAGAGAAATGAACATTTATGTGGAAGCACGAGTTTCGTCGAGCGAGGGCCCCTCAAAACATTGGTGAGCTACCCAGGCAATGGCCTGCAGCCCAACGAAATACGGGTTTAACCGTGTTATTTCGTGGAGGCTATAATTTGACCAGCGCCAGAGAGCTCAGGCCGCACCATAATGGACTATTCTAAGGTCCAATCCTGAAACACTCGTGAACGTCCGAGAGGCGGGAAGAATGGGCGGGATAATTACCCCTGATGCCCACCACTCATTATATCTCCGTCGAAGCGTCTCGCTTTTCTTCCTCCGTTCCACCTCACCAGCATCTCCATTCATCAACAATTCTCTCATACCCACGAAACAGGGAGGTTTATAGCACTTTGATGATATGTCCACGATCTAATCTCCCCCTGATTTTTTATATTTCAGCTAGCAGCATTCATGCCACTGGTTCACTACAACTGCTCCAAACACCTGAGATTCTTCCTCTGCGCTGTGTTCGCTCCTGTCTGCTCGGAGCATGTAGCCATGCAGATACCGGCCTGCAAGCCACTTTGCTTATCTGTTAGGCGGGATTGTGAACCAGCTTTGACCAGTCTCACTCTGCCCTGGCCCAATATGTGGGACTGTGACCGATTCTCCGATAGCGGTTAGTGCGTTCTCTTGTTCAAGCTTCTCTTGTCCATTAGTACCAGAAATTTCGCATTGGAAGACGCTTGGAACGTTGCGGTTAAATCATCAAAAAAAAAAATTCTGAAATTTATAAAATCTATGAAATTTATGAAATTATGTATTCTGTGCATTCCTTCCGATTCATCCCACTTTCTAGGGACATTTATGACATTTATTAAATTTATGAAACTTATGAAATTTCGGAAGTTTATGAAATTCATGAAGTTTATTAAATTTATGAACTTTATGAAATTTATGAAATATCATGGTTGTTATCATATGATCTATGATTGTTACCAGGCAATGCTCTCTGCGTTCAACCACCCTCTGAGGAGAGCCTCCCCGAGCCGGTGTCACCGGTTCTGCCGGCCCTCCGGTCGCCCTGGGCCGGACTGAAGACCCTACAGCCATCCCCAAAAGATCACCATCAGTGTCCACCTCACTTCGTCCAGACGCCGTTCACCGATACTGTAAGTGATCAATTCCCCTGCTACCTCATCCAAATCCCATCCAATCATTTTCTATGACGTCACAAAGAAGTGGAACGCTATATAAATTCCTTTCTTTAATGTAAAAAATGAATGGCCGTAAGAAGGGCGGCGGAGCTCAATATGTACCAGAAATTTGAAACGAGGAAAGGAGCTAGGAGCCGGATAGCTCACTTAGGAGAGCACCCGATTCGTAATCGGAAGGTCCCGGGTTCAAATCCCTGGACCTTTGTCTAGATTTATGTATTTATTTATTTATTTGTTCATTCAAGTCAAGACAGCCGAGGCCAATTACAGAACTTATAAATGGTGTGGAAATAATAAACACATGGCAGTTTATATATTCGCACTAGATAATGAATGTAAAAATTATGATATGACAGAGATTAACATAAATGTCAAGCAGCAAATAGAAGAGATCAAAATAATGAACATGACAAAAAAAGTGAAAATGTCATAATTGTTGTATGTGACATTAATAATTGAATTGATTATCCATTTTTTTAATAAAAATTTTCTGGTTATTCATATTGAGAATAATCCTTTCCATCATTTCCTGTGACGTCACAAAGATGTGGGCTATATAAATTCTCTTCTTTAATGTAAAAAAACAGTCATGCAAATGAACGAGCCTTATTCATCCTTCCAGATATCGTGTGCTCCAAGGTGCGACGCTGACGCCTATTACCGCGCGGAAGACAAGCGTTTCGCTGTCCGCTGGATGACCGGATGGGCCTGGCTGTGCTTCCTCTCGACTCTCTTCACCCTTCTGACCTTCTGGGTGGACCCCTCCCGTTTCCGTTACCCAGAGAGACCGATTGTCTTTCTGGCCCTGACTTACAATCTCCTCTCGATTCTGTTCATAATCCGGGGCGCGGTGGGAGCGGACATGTTGAGCTGCGCACATCAGGAAGACGGCCCCAATTATGTTCCTGTTCACGATGGCCTCCGCAGTGTGCCCTGCACACTGTGGTGGCTATTAAAGTATTACTTATCGCTCTCGAGTGGCGTCTGGTGGACTGTGCTCTGCGGTTGTTGGTTGCTCAGCGCTAAGAATGAATGGAGCAGCGAAGCGTTGCACAATATCGCGCCTTATCTCCATGGAACCGCCTGGGGGCTGCCGTTATTCCTCGTTGCTGGAAGCTTAATATCCCGGAACGTCAGTGCTGATGAACTCACCGGTTTGTGCCAGATATCGGACGAGTCGGCGTTGTGGCTGGAAGTTCTGCCCCTCGGAGTCTTTCTCCTTCTCGGCTGCGTCTTCGGCGGCGTCGCCGGTGCTGCCCTCGTGCGCGTGCGCAGGGCCGTCAAGGCGGCCGGAAGAAGTGCGACGAAACTCGAGAGACTGATGACACGACTCGGAGTTTTCGCCCTACTCTACGCACTTCCGGCGTTCGGGGGCCTTGCCTGCGCCCTTCACGAGGCCTCCGTCAGACCGAGGTGGCGAACTTTGGCGCTTCTCGCGGCTTTGGACTGTCGAGCTGCGCAGAACTGCGTGCCTGGGCCTGTTTACAGTGCTGCGGGACTGGAGGTTGCTCTCTTGAGGGTTTTTCTGAGTCTCGTCATTGGGATCACCTCGGGGATGTGGGTGTGGTCGGGGAAGACGTGTAGAGCGTGGAGCAAACTACTTGCTGCTCCCAGTAAACCAGCCAGATCGTCGCAGTTTGGGCAACATATAGGACGCGGAGGGTTCCAGGGGATCAAACCTGATACTCTGAACTTTGCTTGAACGCTCGGGCTTTGTGGTTGTATATATTCTGTAAATATTGTATATTTGTGGGAGACAATAAAGATTACTTGATACGTTTTTTATATACTGTGGAAATTGGACTGGAGGTGTTTATTTATTTCCGAATGATATTAAGTTGCGGATATATTCGGGTCTAAGTTGTGTTGAGCAAAACTTGTTGGCAAAATACTCTTCTCCAATTGCAGTAAAGATTTCACAGTGGCAACTCCGTGAAGGACTTGTCAACAAGTTGGTAAACTGTAGATATCTCCACCAATTGTGAAAATTCCGAGGTTTTCTAGAAAAATCTAGAGAATTCAGAACCGTGTCGGAAAATTTGGGAAAATTTTCAACAAATCATCATTATCGGATATGAAAATGAAATGCACAAGAAGTAAATTGTCCAGGCAACGCCGCACACACCGGCTAGTTATTGTATAAAAAAAAATATTACTCATCTGCATAAATCATGTTTTGTCATAATGATGTTTCATAAATACACATATATGATACTAATCAGCTTTTCTTCATGATTCATTTATTCAATGAATCGATAGTGGCAAGAATGAAGAAGACTATTTTTAACACTAGTTACATACGTAAGCTCTTCCTTCCAGGTCGATGTCACTCTGGTCAATGGAAAAGAAAAGAATAAAAATTGTAATAGATTACAAAAATTTCATAAATTACCTTACATTAGCTTCAAGATGACTGCATCAAAAAGTTGAATCCACTGTACGCCCACTTTATGATCTAGAAGTCATTAAATCTCTACGTACTTGTCATAATAATTGATAGGAGGGATAAAAAATTCTATTTCTTATCCATTCTCATGGCAAATTGCGTAGAATGAATTATGAAATACTCGGACATTTGCTCCAGTAAATTTCTCCCATAAAACTTCTATTTATTCACAGACGAATTTCCACATGGAAACAGTCTGAATTCTTCACACTGATAATATCTGAAACATTTTCTTGAGACAAGTAATTTTTCTTTAATTCTCCCCGGCATCTCAACTCACGTGACCCGAGAAAGGTCTCATGTTTTAAAATATTCTTGTATTCAAGTATGATTTTGTTGCAAATGAACTCACTCAAATCGCGTAGAAGAATTGTCAATCTTCAAGTATTTATTGTTTTCATAATTTTTTTGTTATGCAGTTGCAATATTTCGATACATAATATATTCATTATATAATGTGCAACGATAGTGATAAATGAGAATTCATTCGAGTTCCGCGAACCGCAAACATTCTGAGATTTAAACCATTGAAAATAATTTACTTCTCTCAAGTAACTATGGTCTACATATTAGAAAATTTTTCTCTCAGTGCATAGAATTATCCAATAGAATTTTTGATTTAAAGTAGCTCTACCCTTCGGCCGGGCTACGCTGTACTTTTGGATATTTTCGGTTTTTTAATTTTTCAACTAAATTGCATGGAAAAAATTTGAAAAAATTCATACCCAGTCAGTATTATATAAATTAAATTTCGCAAAATGATATTTTTTCGCAAATGATAACTGATATTTTTTCAAACACTTCCCTCTTATAAATAAATAATAAAACTTGTTTGCAAAACGGTGGATTATTTTTTATGAAGTGTCAAAAAAAATCTTGATTTTTTCACATCTAATAAAAAAAACTTCAGATTTTAACCCTTGATTACAATGGAAATGTTGATTTTCACATAAGACACTGGGTTAAATCCTGATTTTTAAACATTTCTTCTTGTGGCTCTAGTGGTCACGCGGGGAGTGTGTGGCTCCGGCAGTCATCCAAGCTAAGCAGCGCTCAGTCTGCCCCACTACTTGGATGGGTGTCCGCTTAAGCACACCTAATCGCGTGGGACTGCAGTCGCTAGGCACGAATGTAGAGAACCACTGTGTCCATTGAGTCAGTTTGACCAATGGACACAGTGGAATCCCTGCATTATCGGCCGGCTGCACGACTGACGATTTCTATGGTTTCCCTGGCAGTCCAATCCCGAATGGGGTGCAGTTGGGGATAAAGTAAGTCGGCCCATGGTAACGCAGATAGAGAAGGGAACAAAACGTAAAAAACCCGAGAGGGTATATGTACATATGGAACCCAAAAAAAAAACATTTCTTCTTTGAAAAACCAAAACGATAATTAAATTGAGAAAAAACTTAGAATTCCGAATCTAAGCGAGTTTTCTGCAATTTTTCTGCAGTTTTCAATAATCTTTGAATTTACCGTAAGGGTAGAGCTACTTTAACATGTCTATAAATTCATCTTATTGTTTATATCTGGCTTACTTGCTTGAATGAATCAAGAGAAAGCACGAACAATTGAGTGCATGAGAATTGAATGGGAGTCGACACCCTCTGCATTATCATCACAATATCTCTGAGTCGAGTTTTATCAAGGGAATACCACTCTGATCCATAAATTGAATCCCTGATATTCGAGCTCTTCGTATGAAAATCATCTCACATTTATTCATTTCCGACCGTAATTTTATCAGGTCCATCAAGTTGGGAGTCCTAGGTGCTTCAATCGGGACCAAAATATATGCAAAATTAGGCGCTTTTTTGGTGCCTAAAACTCTAATAGAATTTCTAAAAATTGCGTTTTTTAAATATAAGCATCAAGTTAGCGAGAAAAGTGGGGAAATGAACGATTAAAAAAATCAAACCTATGGGATAATAAGGCGCTTTGTACGTGCTCAAATACTGGAGAGAAAACTCCAGAAAAATGTTTGTTTTTACAAAAACGGAACAGTTTGAAAGAAACCAATGTGGATGAAAGAAGTGTAGAGGGATAGGCATGTGGGTACGGTGAATTCCTCAAATTAGGTGATATTCAGTGAGACAAACCGAAATTTTGGTGCTCCACGTGTATAGTCAAGTTTTTCAGAGGCTCAGTCGCGTCAAGAGACAGGGTCACTGGACATGACTCCAGAGTCTCAGAGTGGTAGAAACGCTTGGAGACATTAAGCGCTCCCAAGAGGAGGCAATTTTTAATTTGGTGCCTCATCCGTAGTCCAAGGTTTAATGGTGACTTAGTTGACTCAAGAGACAAAATCATTGGGCACGTTTTCAGCAGTCTCGGAATGGTGGACATGCTTGGAGAAATTAGGCGCTCACGAATGACGACAATTTGAAATTTGGTGCTCCGCCTCTGGACTGAGATCCAGTGGAAGCTCAGTCACTTCATAAGACAAAGTCATTGGGTATGTCTCCAGCAGTCTCGGAATGGTGGACATGCTTGGAGACATTAGGCGCTCGACCGCATCATATTGGAAGCTCAGTTGAGTCAAGAGACCAAGTCATTGGGCATGTCATGACATTTTTCGACTTGACTATTGAGGAGGAGAATTTGTGAATTTTAGTGGTGGAATTTTTGCGGAGGGGATTTGAAAAACACATCGAAATTATTGGTAAGTCGAAACTCATTGGTCGAATGATGTTTTTCGCTCTGCTCCAAAATGGAGCAAAAAAATCATCTTACGATCGAATGGCGTGATGTCATCTTTAATAAGTCTCAATATGAAATAACTTTCTCAAGCAGTGCACCTGCAGATTGGAATTGATAGGAAGAATGATTTTTTCCTATTCGTTAAAAAATCGTAATATTACAATAAGTAAGAAAAATATTCTTAGATGTCCCCCTTTCGATATTATACATCAACTTATCTATATATATTTCTCGTAAAAATTTCTTTTTTTTTTGTTTAAATTTATCAAAATTATTAAAAAATTTGAATTAAAGTTAGGAATACGATACCCTAACATAAATCTAACATAAGGACCTTGTTCAAGCCTCAGAGTTAAGTCCTTATAACGGATTTTTGTACGATGACATTAAAAAAGTATTTTGATTAGATTCAGATTTCTTCTTCTCTGATGAAAATTTTGATCCAGAAAAGAGGTCACGGACAGCTCATATGAACCTAAAAATGAAGCTGTCAGACTTTTCTGTCATATTTTTGCTAAACGTTGGGATTTTCCGGAGATTGGTTTCCCTTGCCTTCTAAATTAGTGCTAAATTTGAAGAATTTCTGCTCTAGAGAAGTGATTTCAGACACTTAACAAGTAGATGCTTTTATTTCCGATTGAAAATCCTCCATAATTCACGAAACATAAAAATCGTCATAATAATATTATTGATAATTTTGAAAAATGATAAAAGATGTTAAAACATCTGGACTCATGGTCGTATCATACAGACCATCTCTGCAAGTGATATTCAATGTTGAAGTGTAAGCTGGGTATCTATCCAATTATCTGGACCCCCTATTTTGTTCAATGATTGTTCCCCTGTGGATCTATAAGATATATTTTTTTTTTCAGTAATATTCTCTACTATTGCCTTATAAGGGGCTGCTGTTAATGCCCTGACTCGTTGGCTTATTGCATGCCTATCACTTTATGAAATAAGTCATTATAATTGAAGAACTGAAAATCGACGTATTTTTCTTCTACCCAATTGAACTCAACTGGATTTTTTCAGAAGTTTTTTCATCCATTTATAGTTTTTTCTTTGAAACTAAAGCCTCATATGACTTTTCAAATAGCCAATGGATAATATCATCAGTTCCAAAAAAAAAAACAACTTGAGTTTCTTGAATTTCTTTGTTTTTAATCCAAGTGTTTCTCAGACTACATCTAGTCAATTAGCACTCTCTTTACCATGTGAGAGTTGCCTGTTTGTAAGTAGAATCACTGATTTCATGGGCTTCGTTGGCCTCCAATCGACCATTTTTATTTTTTGTTTTTTGAATTTTTAAGAATTCTACATGGAATGAAAGCTCTATTTCTAACCAGCATGAATAATTTTATGGAACTTGATATCCACGTGCATGTAATTGATTCTGTTTCTATTCGAACTCCTATATATAGAAGTTCGATATATCCAAAAGTCCTCAATTCAGATTTTTTATGTATTTACTTATTTATTTTCTCTCTACAATTTTTTGAAGAGATATCAAGCTTACGTAGCATAATCTCTCGTTTTTTCCATTTAGAAACAACCAAATTTTTTGACTTTATCCAAAGAGGTCCTTGTTAATATTCAATGAACCCTATAAATTTACAACTTCTCGAGAAATAAGCAGTTGAATAAATAACAGCTTTTGAAAACCTGGTATTCATGTTACAGAATAGTTTATAGTAAATAGTCCACAGGACTATTAGGTAGTCAGCTGTTTCCTTCAATCAAACTAAAGTCATATCTAGCTTCATTCTCAAAATTGCATTTTGGCCATGAGAATCGACGGTGCTGTGATTTTTTTTTCTCGATAGTCCTTCAGTGGCAGTATTTTATTAACCACGGTTTTAATAGTTCGATGCCCATTTTCTATTATTTTCTTGTTTTTTGCAATGCTCATGGCCTATAGAATTTCATCCCCTGTTCAATGTATCACCAAGTGATTCGTACAAAATGTATCTTTGCATGTTTATATGACTATAATCGTGATAAGAATAATAGTCAGATCAATAATAATAATTCAGTAATTATGGATGAATAGTTGATCTGGGGAAAATAAATTTGAGTAAAATAAAAAGGTCAAAAATATCGAACGCTGAACATTTACAAGTAAATATCAGGATTGTAATCCCTTCGAACGAGACTTCATATAATTACAATCGAACTTCACTTACAGGTAAGTTTGTTTGATTTTAAATACATCATCCGCGCCCATCCTCTCCTCCTCTATTCCAGACCTGGTACCAAAGAAATAATAGGCGTAGCCAAAAGAACCACCCTCCGAAAAATGACAAAAATTCGTCACCCTGACAACCCCCTTCACAATCTCTCCAATACCCTCTTTTACGAATGCACCAAAATAGAACCCATCATTGACAGATTCCACAAACTGACAACGAGTTTTGCTCTTAGCAAACTGGACCATATTCGCGACCTCTGCCACAAGCGCAATCCTAGGATCCGGACTCGTTACAAATACCCTCGGCATACCTTATTTGAAAATCTCAAAGCCATCAGAATTGAGAATATGGGCTCCGACTCCTGGGGAGGCCCTGTCCATCTCCAACAATAAATTGTAAAATTCTGTAACTCCTCTCACATTATTTCATCTCTTTATATTGTACCATCTCGCCACACACGCAATCCTGTCAAAACCATCGTTACTTTCTCTATCTTCACTCAGTAAAACTGAATTCAAATTTTTTCGTACTTACTCGTATCAACTATCATGTACATAATATGTAAATACTTGGCTGAAGGCCCTCGGGCGATGGCCAGTTGCAAATTCTTGCAGGAACTTGCAACGAATTTCGTTAAAAATAAAAATAAAATACATCATCCGACCAATGAATTTCGTCACATCAATATTTTCCATGTGTTTTTTCAATCCCCCCTACAAAAATCTCCCCACTAAAATTTACAAACTGTCCTTCTCAATAGTCAAGTCGAAAAATGTAATTTTGGAGCAAGTGTTGAAAAAATTTTTTTATGAATGTTCCGTCTCATCATTCGCCGACATTGATCGAAGAAATACAAGAATCAGCTGAAGTTTATCATTTATGACGGTTTAAAGATGAAAACAAAGGTGCGCAAAATGTGAAGAAATATTTCTTCAAGAAAATACTGCTGCCCAATGTCTTTGTCTTATGACGTGATTGAGCTTCGAATGGATTTCGGTCCAGAGGCGGAGCACTAAATTTCAAATTGTCTTTATTCACGAACGCCTAATGTCTCCAAGTATGTCCACCATTCCGAGACTGCTGGAGACATGCTCAATGACATCGTCTTATGATGTGACTGAGCTTCCACTGGATCTCGGTGCAGAGGCGGAGCACCAAATTTCAAATTGTCTCCATTCGCGAGCGCCTAATGTCTCTAAGCATGTCCACCATTCCGGGACTGCTGGAGACATACCCAATGATTTTGTCTTATGACGTGACTGAGCTTCGAATGGATTTCGGTCCAGAGGCGGAGCACCAAATTTCAAATTGTCTTCATTCGTGAGCGCCTAATGTCTACAAGGATGTCCACCATTTCGAGACTGCTGGAGACATACCCAATGACTTTGTCTTATGATGTGACTGAGCTTCCACTGGATCTCGGTCCAGAGACGGAACACCAAATTTCAAATTGTCGTCATTCGTGAGCGCCTAATGTCTCCAAGCATGTCCACCATTCCGAGACTGCTGGAGACATACCCAATGACTTTGTCTTCTGACGTGACTAAGCTTCTAATGGATCTCGGTCCAGAGGCGGAGCACCAAATTTCAAATTGTCTTCATTCGCGAGCACCTAATGTCTCCAAGCATGTTTACTATTCCGAGACTGCTAGAGACGTGCTGAATGACATTGTCTTATGACGTGACTGAGATTCCACTGGATCTTGGTTCAGAGGCGGAGCACCAAATTTCAAATTGTCTTCATTCGTTAGCGCCTAATGTCTACAAGCATGTCCACCATTCCGAGACTGCTGAAAAAGTGCCCAATAATTGTGTCTCTTGACTCAACTAAGCCACTATTAAAACGTGGACGACGGATGAAGCACCAAATTAAAAATTGCCTCCACTTGGGAGCGCTTAATGTCTCGAAGCGTTTCTATCACTCTGAGACTCCTGGAGTCATGTCCAATGACCCTGCCTCTTGACACTACTGAGCCTCTGAAAAACTTGACTACAGGTAGAGCACCAAATTTTTGGTTTGTCTCACTGAATATCACCTAATTTGAGGAATTCACCGGACCCATACGCCTATCCCCCCTACACTTCTTTCATCCACATTGGTTCCTTTGAATCCCTTCCGTTTTTGTAAAAAAAAAAATTTTTCTGGAATTTTCTCTCCAGTATTCGAAAGCACGTAAAAAGCGCCTTATTATCCCCTAGGTTTGATTTTTTTAATCGTTTTTCCCCAATTTTCTCGCTAACTTGATGCTCATATCTTAAAAACGCAATTTTTAGAAATTCTATTAGAGCACAAAAAAAAATTTGGCACCAAAAAAACGCCTAATTTTGCGTATATTTTGATCCCGATTGGAGCACCTAGGACTGCCAACTTGACAGACCTACTTTTATCTCTGATTATTTGTTCTTACCTCCACCGTCACTTCATTCCCGAACCAACAGTAGTAAAATGTTTGTAGCAACAGACATATGTAGTAGCCTATCGTAAACAGATATGCAGGATCTCCGTAATTCATATTAACTAATCTGCACACACTCAAGCCTACAACAAAGCAGCTCGTAGCATATTGCATGAATATTACGTAAACAATAGTTTCATTCAATAACTGAGCACATCTGGAAATTATAGCAGTCAATGACGTGTTCAATAGATAGGGAATAATGAATTCCAGAGTTGAGAGGAGAACACGGGAGAAAAAATTTTATAGAAAAAACTAGAGAATTCGATAGAAAATTCTATTAGTTTTTGACAGATTTCATTGAACGATTCTGCAGTTTCACTGCGTTTTTTTTAAATAAAAAATGTCCAACGAAACTGCATTATAGATAAAGTCTGTAGAATTTAATCCCTTTATTGAGATATTTTCTATAGGAATTGCTCAACATGAATTTCCCAAGTTTTTTTTCATTTCATTTCTATCCTCTCTTCATTGGAAGAATTAAACAAAAAAAATTGGAAAATTTGAGCGGAGGATTTTCCATAGAAAATCAATAAATTTCCTCCCATATTTATTCGTGAGTTATGAACATCAGAAAAAATGTCATGAGTGTCCATTTTGCCTCATTCTTCCCTATGTTATCTGACGAATACTCAACTGTTTCAGCAAATTGTAATGTTCAAGAAATTTATGAATTGATTTTACTTTGAATATTTGTTTATTCGTTATTCTCGTTCGAAGAATCTTTAGTTGTACGCACAGAGTGAGGAACAGACCGGTTATAAATGCATCATGGAAAACATGAAATGTCGATGCAAGTGTGATGCCTGTCAGTGCAGCTGGATAAATGACCCAATAGCTGCTAACAGTGTAATTGAAGGGGATCCATAGTCTGTATGGAAATGTGCGGACAGGAACGTCTTTAATTATCGAAGTTATGATCAAATTGACGCTGTTAACTTCGACCATTGCACAAAATAAGATTGAAGAAACCCTACAATTTTGCACAAAGATAACAAATTTTGATTTTCAAGAGAATGCCACTGATTTACAGCATGGCCCACAATAATTGCTAATATTGAGAGAAATTATTCATAAGTAACTAAAGTTTGTGAATCCTCATGGAACAGTGAGAATCAGTAAATCAATAAATGATCTGAATTGTCGATTGACTATTAAATAAATAATTAGAAATTTGAATAATTGATGATGAATAATGTAAATTACAATAAACAAATTAGGGACATTCCACGTCAACTCAGCCACACCGGATTTTTTTTTGTCTGGGAAAAATCATTCAGTAGGTGCATTTTGAACTACTACATATAGACAGTGATCATGCAAAATTTCATTGCCCTGCCACTTTTTGTTTCTGAGATAATGATTATGAAACTTGAAACATTCCNTTGACTATTAAATAAATAATTAGAAATTTGAATAATTGATGATGAATAATGTAAATTACAATAAACAAATTAGGGACATTCCACGTCAACTCAGCCACACCGGATTTTTTTTTGTCTGGGAAAAATCATTCAGTAGGTGCATTTTGAACTACTACATATAGACAGTGATCATGCAAAATTTCATTGCCCTGCCACTTTTTGTTTCTGAGATAATCATTATGAAACTTGAAACATTCCAAAAATCATTACTTCTGAATGGAGCATCCGATTTTGATAAATAAAAAAAGAAAATTTTCGTGTTTTTTCGTACTTCAAGATAAAAAATACTGCAGAGCTGTCAAGAAGCTCCTAGACCGGTTTTTCGAGAATTTTTCGTGTTTCCATTTTTTTTTTACTCCGGGGCCGCTCGATATTCGATGGAAATTTTTTTTTGTGATAGATGATGTCCTTATATGATATGAAAAAAATACGCCATAATGGAAGAGCGAAGCAATGCACCGGAAATTTTTTTTTTTTTAATTTTTGGGTTTTTTAGTTTTTAGGGAAGATCCATCGGTTTTTTTTTAAAGAAATGAATCTGTCAACCATTATTCTTCGTTCATATATGATGACATAAGACTACACCATCATGTAACGGAGAAAGAGTGCGCCGAAAAAAAATTTTCGTCGAAATTTTTACTGGAAGGGTAGATAGTTGAATTGAATATTATCATCATCGGAAGTTTGCTAAATTATGATCAAACAAATGAGAGGAAGAAACAAACGGAGTCAATTACTTGATTTATCATCATCAGTCGGTTCCAAGGCTTTAATTCTAGAAAAAAACCTCAATTTCTCCATTGATTTTTTATCACCATACGATTCTGTGTGGATGGATTACCGAGCTCCTATCTTATTCTATTCTTGCAACGAGGTAAGGAATTTTCACGTTGATTATATAGAAATGATCTTTATTCTCGGAATTGATATCTTCGGATTTCATAGAATGCCGCGGAGTGATAGATGTGCGAATCCAATGCGGGCTCCTGGTGAGAAGGGACACCTCGGTTATAATTTACGTCCGATTTCCTTGACACTACACGAGAAATTTCCTTTTTTACCATTGTCTGCGAAAATCTGTGGTCAATGCCGAACGAGAGCTCCAACTTATGTCATTCCTCCATCTGTCCCCATGGTTAAACTTAATGCTACACATCTTCAGCGTTCGGAAACTCCACCCGATATATCAATGCTCCAAGCCGAAACATGTGACCCAAGTCTGGATGTGATGAACAGTTCTCTGAGATCAGGTCGATCTTTCCATCTTGATGATTCCGGCATATCAATCAACGACGAACCAGACGATGAAGCTGAATTCGACAGTTCTTCCATGGATTATTATTCGGAAGATGACCAAAGTGACATTGATCCATCTTCATCTAAACAGTATCGATCTGCGAGAGAAATAGAATTAGAGGAAATGTTGGATGGTTTGAAGCAGAAACTCAAAGATCGAAAAAACTACCGTGAGCACCTGCAAATTTTGACGGTTCATCCACAGTCGTGGAGTGGGCGGAAAATTGCTTCTGAATTTGGAACTACCAGATACATGGCGTCAAGAGCGAAAAAATTGAGAAAAATTGAAGGAGTGTTTACGTCACCAATTGCGAAAGCAGGTCATTCACTACCCAGCACAACCGTCGAGAAGGTACACAATTTTTACCTAGAGCACAGTCGCGTCATGTCAGGAATGAAAGATAAAATATCCATCAAGATCAATGGAGAGAAGAAAGTAGAGCAAAAGCGAATGATATTTGAAAATGTAAAAATCCTTCGTCGGAAGTACAAACATGCGAATGAAGATGCTAAGGTCGGTTTCAGTAAGTTTGCTGAGCTGAGACCTAAACAATGTATAGTGGCGGGAGCAAATGGCACTCACGTGGTATGTGTTTGTACGTATCATCCAAATTGCAAATTGATGCTAGAGGCAATTAATATTGCGACTCTAACTCAAGCTTCCCCCTGTCCACTCAGAGATTACAAAGATTGTCTAGCAAAATTGATGTGTACAAATCCAACCCCGGCCTGTCATCTGGATGAATGTAACGATTGTCCTGGAGTGAAATCATTATCATGTGAACTGAAGAAACTTCTCTCTGATTCTGTCGTGGAAATGGTCGAATTTCGCGTGTGGCAAAGTACTGACAGGTGTACCTGGCAGACACAGACCCTTCTGATGGATGAATTCATTGATCTTCTAATGAAACGATTGATAGTATTGAAGCCCCATCACTTCATCGCTAAAGAACAATCAGCTTTTCTCAAACAGCGAAAAGAGAATTTGGATAATGGAGAAGTACTAGTGCATTGTGATCTTTCGGAAAATTACGTNAATAGTCTATTCTATCCAGCAGAACAGAAAATGTCTATTGACAAACCCCTTTTTCAGTAACAATAAACGACAGACAAACGTAAAAATTTCGAAGAAAATTTTTTTTCGGAGCATTCTTTCTCTCTTACATGATAGCGTACTCTTNTCTGGATGAATGTAACGATTGTCCTGGAGTGAAATCATTATCATGTGAACTGAAGACACTTCTCTCTGATTCTGTCGTGGAAATGGTCGAATTTCGCGTGTGGCAAAGTACTGACAGGTGTACCTGGCAGACACAGACCCTTCTGATGGATGAATTCATTGATCTTCTAATGAAACGATTGATAGTATTGAAGCCCCATCACTTCATCGCTAAAGAACAATCAGCTTTTCTCAAACAGCGAAAAGAGAATTTGGATAATGGAGAAGTACTAGTGCATTGTGATCTTTCGGAAAATTACGTTTTTGTGGCTGAAGATGCTGCTCAATCCTTCCACTACAATAATGACCAGTGTACAGTTGACTCCGTTGGTTACTACTATCGCGAAAAAAATTAAATCCAACATCGGAGTTTAGTCGTTTTGTCGGACAGTACGACTCACGATACTGCCGCTGTTAATTTGATACAGAAGATTTTAATACAGCATGTGAAAGACTGTTAAAGCGTGGAGAAAATTATCTATGTCACCGATGGAGCTGCACAACATTACAAGAATCGTTTTCAGATCACGAATCTCTTGCATCACAAGACTGATTTTGGCATAGATGCGGAAGCCCATTTTCATGCAGCCGCGCACGGTAAAGGAGCTTGTGACGGAGTAGGAGCTGTCTTTAAGAGAGAAGCGAGACGTAAGAGCTTGCAAATCGTTCATGGTGAACCAATTCTCACGCCAGATGCTTTGTTTCGATGGTCAAAAGAAAATATTGAAGGAATTGATGTTTTTTTTTTTCACCAAGGCAGAACGCGAGAATATCAAAACTGAGTTGAGAGAGAGATTTGATAGTGCCAAAGCTATTCCAGCCATTCAAAAACACCATTGTTTTATTCCGATACCGGGAGAG